TCACGGAGACTTCAGGGTTGTCTACCGCTGACGAAGCTTCTGTGAGAGAAGCGAAACGTCCTTTTTTGTTTTTTTTGTTTTTTGTTTTTTGTTTTTGTTTTTTACCCACAGGTACAGATGACGACTGACAGAACCCTTTCTACGAAAGCCCCTGACTTATAATTAGATTCTAAAACAGTCAGATTGTGTGAGCATTAATCCACACAACACAACTGAAGGTTTGCTACAATGCATTATTGAAAAGCATTACTTCCCCCTTTTGCTGTTTAAACCATACACAATTCTGATATACATGAGTAACGCCACTCACGTTGTTTTTCAAGCACTGCGGAGCAAGCTGAGAGAAATAACAATGACTTAATTGATTAGTCGACGTTGATGCCGATTATCATCAAAGTAGAGTCGGCTACAAAAAAATTCAAGTCGTTCAACCCCTCTAACAAACACATTTTTTTCTTCTCAAGACTGTACAATGTTCATAAACTTGTGTCTGTACCTAGTGTCTGTGCCACTGTGTGTATGTGTGTGCGTGCACGCGTGTGTGTGTGTGTGTGTGTGTGTGTGTGTTTGTGTGTGTGTGGGTGTGTGTGTGTGTGTGTGTGGGTGTGTGGGTGTGTGTGCGCGCGGGCATGTGTCTGTGTGTGCATGCCTAACTCACTCTGTATGCACACCTATGGATAATTGAAGAAATCTGTAATTGTGGTTTTAGCAGTTAACCGGCTGACACCACGAGAACATTGAAGATCAATATTTCCATTTCCAAAAAGTCACAGACCTGATAGCTAACTCGCCACCTGGAACAAATAGCGATTTCCTTTGCTTCAAATTACTTTTCATAAAATGCAGCTGGATTGTGGCAATACAGTATACTGTATACTGGTGTGACATTTATTTCTGCATTTGATAAAACAAACTGGTGTTTCATTCGTTTTTTTACACATATTGGAGCAGAAATTAAACACATGGACATGACCTTGGAACACGTGCGATAAATCCCATTATCCAGCCATTCATTTTTTATCGTACTTGGCCTCATTAGGGTCATGGATGAGCTCATCCTAGCTGACTCTGGGCAAGAGGCGGGATACAGCAGCCAAGTTTGTAAATTAATTTCCTTTGGCCAGCTCTTCGTTTTGACATTTTATACTGTGGAGTACCACAAGTGATTGTGCGGGCCAAAGAGTTAACAAAATGTGTCACATTCAAATGTGCGATGGTTTGCTTCTGGTTCTGGTGAGGAGTGCTAATAAAACCCCGAAAGTCAAGGTGGCATATCGTTTTATCCAAAGAGCTATTAAATGAAGCAAACAATGCCTAGCATTACATAATACTGCAATCATTGTGTTAACTCAGTGTTCCGACGGACAATATACTATCCGCTTGCCGCCAAAGCTGCAAAGGAATAAAATGGCCTTTGAACAGTATTTGGAATAAAGTCAAAAGTAGTCATATTCAAATGGTTGTAAGAGATTTAGCAAGACCAATGTTTATTTAATGACTTGACAGGCTATCTGGGTCATACATATTTCACATTATTGGTTGAAATATTCCCCAAAAATGTGTTCTGGTTGCTAAAATGCATCATAAGCATTGTTCTTCATGTTTGGATTTCGGGTATCGTTTTTCTGTTTGTGCACATCGTATAT